ATGGGGCTACAATTTCGAGAAATATGCAAAAATTCCGATGATTCATTTGCATTATATTGGCTTTGGTCATACTCAAAAAAGCGAAACCTCTATGCTGAAACAACTGTGACATTAAAAATCAGTGCATATGATAAAATACCCAAGAACAAAGTTGAACTTGGTGGTTGAACCGGGTTACTAAGCTATTTGTAATTTGTAGTGGCTGTACCTGTAACGACCTTATGCTTGCAAGATTTCTGTGGAAAGACACAAGCTAATCTCTTGATGCTCGTAGTGTTGCTTTTTGTGAAACACCGGTGGCTCTGAGCCAGTTTAGCCCGTATACGAGCTATAGAGTTGCACCCGGGGCGGCAGTAAACTTTCACTCACCAACCCTTCTTTATTTTTGTTCACATTTACATCACTCTGGTCTGAACAGAACGTCTGTTCAAACGAGAGTCATGTGAATATGAACAATACACGTCCTGCAAACCCCACAACATGCATCAACAAAAGTTGTCCAGCGGATTTCAAGCGTCTGTGGCGCTGCCTGACTGGGAAGCCCTGACAAGCTAGCCAATCGATCGTCACAACCAGGTCAGTTACTGGGTCGTCGTATCGGCGATGCGTCGGGCATACCAATCACATCGCTCAAGCGTGAACACGTTCGCCTGTTCAGATGTGAGAATTCAGATGCGTCCAACGTGAGCTGGTGGAATAGTTATACCGCGTTCGACTCGCATGTCAGGTGACCGGAGTTCAAACCCCGGCACGGCCATTGAGTATGCACTTCTGATGAACCCTAATAAGAGTAGAACTCGATTGCAGTGCTTTCACCCTCTGGTGTGGATTCACCAGAACAATTGTGCTAGGTCAGGAGGACGTCTGTTCAAACGAGAGTGATGTGAATGTGAGCAGTATACATGCCGCAAAACCCACAACCTTCCTTGTTCGTAAGTTATCACCGACACTTTGTTTCTCTCAGATTTCATCGGGAAAGCACATGGCGGACTTTCATATAAATGCTGATTCGTATTTACTTACTCGAAAACATTAGATGCACACTCAATTCTAGCACCTCGAAAACAAGACCACCTCCTTGGGCAAAACGGAACAGCTATTTCCGTCAATCCATCATGTGATATCCTACTCAATGCAAAGTTAATGAACCTTTATCTGTAGTGAGTGAAAATGGGAAAGTACTGTAATACTGAACACAACCAAAGAACTTGTACATAAATTGAGTTTCTTTTAGCAGTATAGCTTGACAGATTTTCTTAAAGTATACTGAATGGGTGGTGGTTATATAAGTAGAGTCTGAGCTTCAGTACGCCTGCTTTTGGACACAAATCCAACCAACAGAACGAGAATCCACTATACTGTGTAAACAGAATCACAATAATTGAAGTGGTAGGTTGTCAGTGCGAACACACATGCTGACTGGTTCAGGTTCTTGATATGTGACCACTATATATATATCATTGAGAGAGAATTAGTATTAGACAAAGAAACAAACAGCTTGGTATCTACTCAGAAAAATGGTTTTGAATGCTTAGTCACAGGAAGAACTAGTTGAAAGCTCACTGGTTCTTATGGTGCCATTAGATGGAGTCACAGAATTTTCTGAATTACGCTGTTGGATCTTACGCCCTTGTTGTACAGTCTGTTCCGAGCTTCCCACTAAAAGCGTTACCTGACATCAGTTCTACAATACAATTTTGGAGAAAGGAGGGGACATTCTCTTCGGTGCAGGAGCTGTATCTGTATTTATGAGTGGGTGTTTGTGGGATAAACATAGGTGGGCGCTAAAAATTAAGAACTTGATGCCGCTCCGGTGAGAAACTATTTCGGCCAGAAGCTGCAGTTTGAAACTCTGAAAATATCCAGAGTAAGCCGAAAATACAGAGGGCTAGATTGAATAGGTGTGGATGAGGGTGGACAAGGTCAACAAGAATGCACGCGGGTAGACGATATGACTAGATTAACATTCCGCCCTATGTCTTACCGCACCAAATGGTTTGTATCATGTAGGACAGCTGCTGCGCCTGTCTGTTCGTTTCAAATATCCAGTGTAACCAGCTGTTTGTAAATGCTGATGATTTCTTTTAAAGGGAAACTAGAATTAGGCGCTCGTGTCCGTGTTCTTTATGCATGGATTGTGTGGCTGTTCAGCCTCAAGGAGTTTGGGCTTTTAGTTCGTAGTCCTTGTGACATAGTAGCTATGTTAAGGAACTAAATTTGGTTATTGGAGGTATCCCTTTTCAAAATGCCTTCCTGTGCAGCACATGATGTTTAGTGAAAATATGGAGACTTTGACCAAAGCCTACTCTTATCTAAAGCCAAATCATGCTGAAAACTTGGGCGCATGGCATTTTGATATCAGGATTCCCTTAATTTATTTATTATGTAAAATTACGGTAATAAACTCAGTGGAATACCATGCCTCTTGTCTTATTTTGCCGTGCATAACAAGGCGGCAGAAGTAGTGAAGTGCTCGCTAGTCCCAAAGAATGACTGCGATGGATTCCACGTGGTACGCAAATTCTGGTAGACGCTTTTATTCAGAATAAAGAGTAGAGTATCCGGGCACAAACTTGATATCGTTTGATGCTTCTCAACCATTACTGGCAATAATACTATTCTTTGTTTTCACGAGAAGTGATGACAAAAAATTGAACGCTGCTAGGAATCCAATATTAAAAAATACATATCTGTTGCAGAGGCACGATCTTCACATGTAATCTAGTAAGTGTTGACCATATAGCAGATAAACTGCCGAAGATTTCGTCACACCAGTTATTCAGTGTTTCTTCAAACAGATTTGGTTGTCTTTGCGCATTTTCAAGTTTTGAAGAATATTGTAAAGATCTTGTGTACGGGATGCAACAGACGGTATTATAAATTTGCCCGGGGATGTTAGTGGCGTTTCGTTAATTGTTTACACGAGATGCAAACTCTAGGCAGGGTTCAGTATACACCTTATTAATTAAAAACACCAGGCAGACTGGGTGTCACGAAGATTATTGTAAAGCCAGTTTTGTCCATGTAGCTGGATGAAAACTCACGTTTTTTCTGCTGCTGGTTTGCCAATAATAACGTATGCTTGCATTTGTATGTGTATAAAATTAAGCATGACCCATATGGAATTCACATAATAACTCAAGTTTTCCAGTTTTCTGAATCCCAGGGCTGCTAAAATTTAGGACCAAAGTAATGATAAGATTTTTGAACAGCCCCCGTAATCAAACGGTTTTATGATGTACAACTGGCAAGGACTTTTTGGAGAACTTAAAAACAAACTCAAGTTTCTTACAGCTGGTCCTGTCACTCACTCTGAAGCACAGCACTGGTGATTCCTGTCCCTCAGCCAGCTCCAAATTACTGAAGATATAATAAGAACAAGGGAAAACTTTGCCTTAAAACAGTGCATTAATGAGTGGCGTTGTCGTGATGAAGGCCTGTTCAAATACTGTCTGCAGGAAGCCAAAGTTAGCTGTGTGTTAGTCTTATTAAGTGTTTTTGCATTAGCTTGGACAATAACCACAAATGTCTGAAATTACTTTCTAATCCGTTTGACATTCACAAGCGCTTTTAGCAAAAGCTATCCACTACCATCGTTTTACCATATTTAGTAAACAGTCCATTGTTGTGTAATTTGGTACTTTTGTCCTGCGGAGTAAATGATTTCCCCCAATAAGTCCATGTGGTTTCGTTAACTTGAGCATTTGTTGGTTGTTCGGTCCAGATAAATCTTCAAGGGAGCAAAATGCAGACTGTTAGATATTGCTTGGTTACATCTACTCTCAGCTTGGTTGAGAGGATTATCAGAAATCCTCACATAATTCAACCGTTGATTACCATTTGTACCTAGCCTGGCCAAGTGGAAAAATTGCCCGAGGCAAAAGTTACTCCTAGAGCTCCCTTGGTAACTCATTAGTTTGCGAAGCCAAATGCTGATTCTGTAGGGGATAACTATTATGGCTTTGAAACATATACAGTGTTTAGGATGATTAGAAGTTCGGAGGTAGTAGAGTTTGTCCAGAACGTTTTCCTATTGGCTGATCCCAAACTTATGGAAATAGGTGAGTAGTATGGAACTATCGAATACCACCGATACCCAAAACAGTTTCACCAACCAGTATCTTCACCCAGGATGTATTCAGATACCAAAGCGCCACTAAAAGCTGAAAGTTGGAAAATATTATGCTTCCAAAAGCTTACAAGTGCTCCCATTAAAAATACATTCTATGATTAGTTTATTGAGTCTTTCCGCTGATTCAGTTGACCATTTGATTACAACCACCGTATGTGGTTTACTTGAATTCCAGGAAGAAAAATGGTTTGTTTGGTGAGTGTGTTCTCTAGGTTTATATTTAACCCTCATTAGCAGCCAATAAGAATTTTTTGATAGCGTTTACCACTTAAATGCTCCTAAGCTTGAAATGATAAAATTCTTATCCTTCATTCCGCAATAATTTATACCAGCCGAGATATTCATTGACATACTTTGGTATTTTGGTTGGAGCTAGAAAACTAGGCAGCAAACGAATCCATCATGTGGCTTGATAAAGTCTACGAAACAGAGCCTGGTTGGTACCTCGAACTGGTTAGGTTGCTAAAGCAACCTATTACAAAAGAGATTGACGATGAATTATTTTAAGCAGATAATTTTACGATATTCTTGTAAATTAAATAACATTTGAATGGGTTTATCACAGCATAATGCTTTTTAAATGCTATGTCGAAATGCAAGGGGTGATCATCCGGAGTCCTGTTAGCTAAGATAGGTTAGTATACGACGTTACTGAAAGTATTACTAACATGTTTCATCAACCAGAACAGGCAAATTAGAATGTTTAGCGATTTTCGCGCACTGATAACAAGTAATTAGCTCTTTCAAATAGGTGAAAAATCGCACACTGTTTTACGTGGAGAAATTCAACGCTTTTTGACATATATGCTTTTCCCGTTCCATGAACTGTCGGAAAAAAACATTTGAAATAAGTACAGATAAAACTTACCAGTAGTCTCCTGTGGTGGAATGCACATACTCTCGGCCAAACGGGGAAACTGTTTACACTGTACAATTTCTGGCCAATCAAACCCAAATAGACGCATCCTCGGCAAACATGCATTCCTGACTTGATCACACAATTCCCAACAGGGCGGTATCTTTGCCTCTTGATGACTCTTCAAACATACGGGTGCATACAGGGAACAGAGAAATCTCTGAATATCCGGATGACAGTCAGTGTTCACCAACGCAACCCATACATTCGCTTGTTGGATTACTTCACGAATACTTTCGTGTTGTAGAAAGTTGGGTAAAACCATGCGAGAATAACCAACGCTTTTGCACAATGTCATATTTGGTGGAATTGTGTGACAGTTCCAGTATGCGTAGGAATTAGGTTCATTTGAGTATCCCATGGAGGTCGACTCCCACGAAACTGAACTCAGGTCGTTATTTTGCATGTTAGGCTTCAGACGTGATAAACCAGGTCCAATCGCATCACACGCCAAAACGAACGACTGCAAAGCTGCAAATATCCAGACAATATACATTGTTCTACGTTGAAAAAATATGCGTTAGTCTCCCTTCTCTTCAGCACGATGCTTTAGCGTTGAGCAGAAATTCGGGTAACCCTGCTGTTGTTGCAAGTGGCACATAATGTCACATCTGTTTAAGTGACACAATCTTTTAGGGATGTTTGTCATTTCACAATTAGCTGAATATTGTACCGAACGTTCGCATCCAACCAATAGCAGAGAAGCTTCATCACAACCGTAGTGGACCAATCACCATCAAGACAACCGATACTTTGCACACCGAATCACATTGGAGTTCAACAGGGAGGTCGGCGATCTGTCCGAGAGGTGTTGCGAACCGAATGGCGCCAGAACAGAACAGAAAAGTAATGAATGACATGAGAAAGTTAAGTTTTGTTCTAAGTTTGGTGAGCGTTCATGTTAACCGAGCGAAGCCGCGCTGTCTTAATGACTTGAATTATGGGCCGCACAGAAGTGGACAAACAGTTTCAGCGTAGATGCAATAGTAATTGCAACCAGCCGTCAGTTTTCAAAGAATTCAGCAACAGTAGAAACTCTGAGATCCAGTTCGAATCAACTTAATTGCGTGAAGATGAATGGTACCTCAAGTTTTCTGCTGTTTGGCAAGTTCGAAGGCGGAAGTTCTTATTTCGGTCGCATTTAGTGTAATTACGATTCAGTGGTTGGCGGCAAAAGAGTCGTTAGTTGACTTAACAGTATTTTTCGATAATGTTTTCAAAATCATTTTCAACTAATATTTCCTCCTGTAAGTCAGGCCAATTTTTGCTGTAGAGCCGGAAGGCACTCTACAGCTGTTTCATCCTTCAAAAATCGCGGGAGCTTTGGAACCGTGTCTTTCCTATAAGTAGCCTGGAAACTCACCGGTAGACACAGAACGGCTGATTAGTAGCGTGACTGTCACTTTTAGATAGAATATACAGTCGCTCGTCATTTAAACCACATCGTCTGGTCACGTAGTGACAGGCTGGTTAGGGGATCCGGTGATCTCCTCTATGCAGGGTTCAGTAGAATTGTGAAGTTATACTTTCTCTCAGCTACTTATAGTTGGGGTTTATCATAACATACATCTCTGAGTAACTTATGACACTGGTCGTTTCGGATAAAACTTCCCCGGGAGCAGTCTGAAGTATCCTTAGACTGTGGGTGTTAAAATTTAGTTGCATTTCCTGGAGTTCTTTCTGAAGGTTTTCGCGAAATAAGGCTAGAATGGTTAGCAAAAATATCGAGAAACACGGGCGTCCGTTTCCAGAATGAAATATTTAGGAAAATGTCGCATTCGTTCAGATGCTGGACCTTGGGTTTACAAACTATGTAGACTAAATCTGCAGAAGTGGTGCTTGTCCACATTGTTGTTTCTGCTTATGGTTGCCACGTGGGGGCTTTGGGGTTGCCTTAGTCATGGAAACTGTAATGAAAGCATTTTAGTCCTTTTGTCCTGGAGTTCTTCACCTGGTGAGTCTATAGGAAACAATGGAATCAGTGACATTATGTTAGGTCTCATCCAAACTTTCAACTAGCGCATATAGTTGGCCCTGCAACGATCCAAACCTCGGTCATTGCCATTATTAAATTGACTCAACTTGCATACCGATTGCATCTGAATGACCACGTCTGAACAGGCGGAATTGTTCATACTAATTGACGCGATTGGTTTGGCCCGAAGATGATTCAGTCCCCCTCTGGTTGCGCCACTCGAATGACACCCCTGTCAGTTGGGTAGTGCCAGGGATTCCTGAAACCGGTTGTAGAATGTCTTAACAGTCAAAAGTAATTGCGTGATTTGTAGGATCAGAATACAAACCACGCTCGTTTGATCAGTCCTGCTTCTGACCTAGTGCAATTATCCTTCTGAGTCTACGGTGAACTGAGGAAGCACTGGATTCGAGTTTAGCCTTTATTTTAGTTGTTCGAAAACCGTACTGTAGTACTGTACCGTACTGTTACGAAAAATGTCCTTAGAAGAGGCCAACAAAGGGGGAGGCCAAAGTGTTCTCACCTGCATGTGATTTAACATGATGAGAGAAGTGAAAGCTTGAAGTTGTTTCTGAAAGCATCATTTGCTGTTTTCTGATTTTATGTGTATGTCTTGAAACATTTTTTATTCTGACAGAACTTCGAGAAATTGGAAGTGTTCATGGTACTGTATTCGGAAGTCATAAAAGGTCAGTATTTGCTCCTGACAATTCGACGAACCTAAAGCCTAGAAGCAACCTGTCGTTCGACGCAAATTTGTTTGCTACATTTCATAATGAAGGTGCTGTAAAATTTCGACAATTCATACCATATAGGACCTTGATTCTTCATTGTAATATATAGGTGATATGACTGACCGAGGAAAGCAATCTGACAGATGTTTTGGAGTCTCGGCTTCACCTCGAATTTTCGCACTGAAGCTCGAACGACTCAAGAACCCCCTCGTTTGAAATTATCAGACCCCCGTAAAGCTCAGTGAATAGTTCGGTGCAAGTCCGACTAGTCACAAGTGCCTACTAAACTCAACTAAATTTTACATTCAACGCTATGCCGCTTCACAAAATTCCTTGTCTTTTCTCTATCCAATTATCACGGATTAAGGTTTTATAGAACAGACTAAGATTTCATAGTATATTGCCAAACCAACATTGTCTCGTTCCTTTGTAACCGCCCTCTTTATACGTGCTCGTTTACACGAGGAATGGTTCTATTATGAACAGTTGTGTACCCCCTAACATAAAAAACAACTGAGTTCCAGTGATTACTTAATAATGTGTACATATGGTAAGTGGCGCTCACGCGCTTTCGTTATTAGTAATTTAGATCTCTTAAGCGGGGCTCAGAATAAACAAAAGAACAATAACACTACACTGACAATTATTTTCTGTTACAAGTTTCTTGATTGTGCCTAGGAGTTCAGGCTTAGAGCCATCTTTTAAACTGTGTACTATTATTTGCAAAAGAAAGCACGCTTGCAGTATGTATTGCGACAAAAAAGGAAAACCAATGACTGATTTGGGATAGAATAAATCCACAAATCTACTGAAAAAGTTTACCTAATTCGCAAAGTGAAATAAATCATTTCCTCATTTGTTGCAAATCAGATGGGCGAATTTCATAAGTTTACGGTTCATCGTAATAAGACTTCCTTAATGAAATTATCTTCAAAGAATGCTCACGCTTCTTATTGGAAGACGGTTCCTCTGGGTCTCCAAATTTAATGGACGATTGCTTAGATGTTGTCCTACTCAAGAGATACATGACCCCTCTATATAGAATGTGATATTTTCAAACAGAAAGTGATGCATCTCACAAGTGGATCCTCCCAATAACGTAACACATACAACGGATTGGATACCGGATGTCACTTGCTGGATGAATCAAGTGTATAAGCTGGTGGCTATAAGTATGAGTGCTACAAGTGTCTAATCCTCTTAAACCGGCTCTGTTTTCACTTTGCTCCAAGTGTACAAATATGCTGAGATCTCTACTGTTGCCTACAGTTGTAGCTCCATGATCAGACTGTTCACTTTGGCCAATATCCAGTGTGTTTAGATAGAGCTAATGGTTCATCGCTGCAAACCGACATGCAAATGTGAAAGCAATCATTAATCTTTCCCCGCTCGGCGCACACAGACATGGGTCCTAAGTGATCACTGTCCATGAAAGCAATTCACTCTCGCCGGACGCTTCGTTCGGGTAATGAACGCATTAGCCACAAATACATCACCTGTTCTGGCAATGTCACTAAAATCATAACTAGCGTAAAGTACTACACATAGTTTTCACTGACTAAACCTCACGATAATCGATAGTTTTCAATTATAGCGGACTTTGTGACCCCAGAACTGGCTTACCTAATTCATTGCAAATAAAAGCAATGCAAGGAGTATCCTACGAATGGCTGGCCGAAAGGCTACTCCGACAGTTGAAAATATCAGAACGTCAACTCTCAATACAACTTTTAGACTCGGTGATTGCATAACAAACTCAACTTCCTACGTAACTGAAACATGAAAACATGAAATGGTATGTATTACCCATGTGCTCACTATATTATAAACTGAAAACTGCTTTTGCTTTCCGTTGGCAGTTTTACTGCTAGTTCATTCACTTGTTTCCATAGCATATAAGTAAGAAAAACAATTTCCTTGAGCACATGACGCGCGATTACGATGGTTCATGAAACCAGGTTCGAGACGGGGCACCGAAAAGCGGCAAATGTCGTTCGGAACAAACTCAGGCAACGTTGAAGGCAGCGCGTATCAAGCAAGTGCTGGTTTTAAGACTGATGGATAAATTTTTCATGGTTGGACTCTAAAGTCTCTCCTAATAGGATTATCAAAGTTGCTGGACACGAATTTTTCAGTGTTCTGCTGACAGTCAGAGTGTGATCAGTTTCGTGGTTCATATGTGAAGGTTTTGGTTCCGCCTTCAGACCATGGTTATCAGAATTCAGCAGGGACATTTTGAGGCACGAGCCGAGTCATATTAGGCATGTTACAGAGGTTCATGAGGAACAGTAATGGCATGTCACAAACTAAAACATTTTGCACCTTTTGCACGCGAACCTCTGAATTTCTGATTCAGAAGGCTGTGATTATTTAGAACTACCACATGCCGTTCTAACTGGATTCACGGCAAAATGTTATCATCATCCTTATCCTCATTATCATCATCATCGACAGCATGCCACCGGTGTTCAATAACGATGCTTCACTGCCGCAAAATGTTAACCCTTGACCAATTAGCTGCGGAAAACTTGCTAGGCGTCGGTAAACTCAGTAATCAACTAGTGGTCTAGACTGGAAAGCGTAAAACCGACTTTTAAATTGCCCTTTGGTAAACGGTGCTCACAAAAAACATCTACGCCGTGTATGCAATTAGATCAGTGTGTTCTAATCAGGTTAACTGCGGAAGCTCAAGGTTACTGGTAAAACTGTGACGGTCAAGGAAGCTTGCTTGGCCTCAGGGCACATTGTCATGAACCAGAAATGGGAATTTTGGTAAAGATCAGGTGTTCCAAGACGTGTCACTATGAGAAACTTGAAAACCCCGTGTCTTCTATGGCCCAGAAATATCTGTGTGAACTAGGTAAGCATCCATATACTGCCTCCCGAATAGGGATAGACCTGTGCCTCTACA